TTTTTTTTTTTTTTTTAATTTAAATATTTAACAAGTCTTATTTCATTAAAATAAAATGACATTAAAGTTAGTAGTCACTTAATCATTTTTTAATTTTTTTTTCTTACTACGCTGGTCGAAAGTACGGGGGTTTTTGTTGCGATTTCACTGCAGAAAGCCTGACATTTATGCCGTGGTCGAGTCGCGCATGCGCTCTATGACGGGGAGCCGAAAAAATGTATTCATGCACTGACAACGAGACACGAGGCGGCAGAAAGTCCGAAAGTCGGTAGTCGCGCTCACTCTATTACTTATGTTTACAAGCCTAACCTTACTTGTGATTGTTATGAATGTATCTGTTTTGTTATGTATCAATGATTTTAGGTTGAAATTAAATTAGTTACAGAAAATGAATATTTATTTTAATGAAATGAGACTTGTTAAATATTTAAATTACAAAAAAAAAAAAAAACGAGGAATATTCTTTATTCTGATCGATATTCTCAAATAAATAAATCTATTGGTGAACAAATAATTATTTGAAAAAATATACAAACAGATTTTTTTCTTAATTTTTTTTTCTCGATATGCATTTTACGATTATTATTTCTTTTTTCTGTTTTTATTTTATTCTTAAAATCTTTTATGATACATTTATAACGTTAAATGATACGTTTATTCAGTTAAATTACGATCTTTTTTCAAAAGAAAGTAGTAACATGATTGATTAATATATTAATTCTTTATTGACAGGTGTATATGATGCCTGCCCCCCCCCCCCCCACCAGCAGCACTCGCTTCGCTCGTGCCGCAAATGTCGGGGGCAGGCATCAATTTTTTTCAACGCAATTTTTAACGTACTTTCGACCGCATAGCAAGAAAACTAGTATACACTACATGGGCAGAAATTTGAGAGCCCTGAACTGCGTGCCATGATGCCCTCGGCTTCGCCTCGGGCACATGGCGCGCAGTGCAGGAATCTCAACTTTCTGCCCTTGTAGTGTAATATACTAATTTTGGTGGTAGCTGAAAATTCTCATTATTTACTCTACAAACAACTACAAAATATAAGATTCAGCGTATTTCAGTCCTCAAAAACTTGTTATTCCCTTAAATACCCCGTTTTGCCCCCTCCCCTCCCCTATATGAGCATTTTTAGGCCATATCAAAATTTTTTTACACAGGTTATTTTTTTAAATTCAATACATTGAATATTAAAAAAAATAATAAATATCAAAGCAGTGTTTTTACTCTAAAACTTTTAAAGTAAATTTAATCTATTGAAATAAATATTCAATAATATTTTTCAATCGATGTCTTTAATACCACAAAATAGCATACATATAAAGATTTAGTTTAAAATACTAATTTATTTACACTCTTAACACATTAAATCTCGTGAACTCAGTCATTTCGATAAACAGAACAGATTAATTATATTTTTACTTTAAAATGTATTCCTAAATGGATTTTAAAAGTTATGAAAGACGCTATCTATTAATGAATCAGTTGTGATGATACTTGATATGCTATGTGACTCAGTAGATCTAATCTCCTAACTCCATACTTAAGAAAAAGTACATAGAAAAACAGTTATCTTGGCCCACGAAAATTTCAGCCTTCGACTTTGTATGCTTGGCTCAAAATTGTTGTTTCTTAATTAAAAAAATAATTACTTTTGAATTAATTAACAAAATTTTTGAGTCTCTATAAGTGAATTACAGACTCTGCGTAACTAGATACTGGTAAGGCTCACTAGGTACTCACTTGAGCTACAAAAATTTGCTGCGTTCTTTGGCTAAAATTTAATAGTCTTAATGAACGAAAAATATTATTTAGTTTAATAAACTATTTAATTGAAATGACAGAAAATTATTTCAAGTACAGTATAAAATCAAATTGACTTAATAATTGGAATATTAAGTCAATATAAAAAAATTCTCGACAATTTTTTTTATCCTGATCAAATTTCCGATTTCAATTCAAAATGCACAAAATTGTCTTAGGCCCCAAAAAATTTCTAGAGTCAAGAAATCCAATATTTCTATGTACAAAATGTAAAATCACACAATAAAGAAAAAATTACTTACAGGTCAATCACAATAATTGGTACTAAAATTTAACAAAACTGATCTGCTAATTAGATGGTTCATTTTTCCTTTATTTGGATCACTCGCGACTATTTGACAGAACAATCCGACCCGGGAAAAAAATAATCCGTGGTTGTGCTCTCAATCTCTCAATGAACTGTCGTCGTTCTTTTTCCTGTCTTATATATTTTGAGTGACTGTGGTAGCTCGAGATGAGTTCGATTCCAAAAATGACCAAACTCCACAACAAAGTAGCCGCAAACACAATGAAATAAAACACCAAATTATCAAAGTCCATCCGTTCATAGTTTTCAGCTTCTTTGATTTTCTCCATCTTCTCTATCTTTTTCCATTGATTCTTTTCTACCGCTTCATAGTAATGGTAAATTAATCCTGTTTCCACCGATATTGAACGGGCTTTATCAATTTTTTCTTTCAGCGCCCAGTTCTTTCTTGTCCAATACACGTAGTACTTTTTGAATACATTTTCCTTCGAAACATAAAGATTCTTAAATTTTAAAGCATTTAATAGTTGATGGGTAGTGTGGTCGATACAAGCGATAGTCGAATTTTTTTGGGCTTCTTTCGCACATTTTTTCAATTCAGCAGGAGATGATGGATACAAGTATTTCTGGTCATCTTCAGTCACCCACAATTTTTCATTAATCATGTCATTTTTTAAAAACCCATTATAAAACACATGATACTTGTTGTCGAACAAGTCCTTCAAGGTTTCGACATTGCGTCTTGCAGGTTGGGATAGAATAGCCGATATTTGTCCTTGGAATTCCGGCATCGCTACGAAAATGAACAAAAATCCAAAGAAATAAATGATCCTCATCGAAATACGTCCCATTGGAGATATTATTCCCATACTCAGTGACATGCTCACAATGTCCATGATTCCTTCGCTCACACCAAATTTATTGTTCATAATTATGATGACAGCAATCAACAACAACACCAAGAGTGTGATGACGATGAACTGAAGATTTATGTGGATTTCGGTGACTGCGGTTAAATAATCTGTTTTCTTTGTCATAATTGAATAGTGCATTTCTTCATACTCTGTCACAAAATCAGTTACTTTAGGATTTGTATCAGCTAATTGGTTCTTGACGTTATTCGCATCATACTGATGATTGTCAAGATCTCTATCGAAACCGTATTTAATTATGTCGGAACTGAAATAGTTCTTCAGAATATCAATTGACGTTTTTACTTTCATATAATCAGGTAATGAAGTCAATCCGTAGTCTTTGATCTTATCAAAATTTTCAAGAATTCTATTGATGCTTTCCTTACTCTTATTCTGTTCGATTGAATTTGATGGAAGGACACGAGCGAATAATTTTATTTCATGGCCATCTAAGTACAGAGTCTTATCAAAATAAATATTTTTATAGTTGTTCTTCAAATCTGGAAATCAATTGAAAGAAATAATTTAGCTTATACAATTGCATCGTAAATGACATTATGAAACTTGATAATTACCTTTCGGATACTGCAGACTGTATAGTGTCAACTTTGTTTTATTATTGATATTTGCATTTGAAAGTTTAACTTGATTCCAAGGTGATGGAGCATATTGTGTGTAAGGGTTCAGAGTGTAGACTATGGTTGAATGTTTTTCGTTATCATAACACACATAGTATGATATTAAAGTATCGATATATTCCAGGAATGAAAGAACCTCAGAAGTCTCTACATTGTGAGGTTGTTCAGATCTTTTGTTCTCGACACATCTGATTCAGATGTGTCGAGAACAAAAATTGGCGACTTTATGTTCCAGGTTGGTGAGGCCATAAACCCTAAGATAAGTGATATCAACTTGTGTAGAGATTCAAATCTGAGGACGTACGTAGGATAGCTGGAAAGATACCCTTTAATTTCTATCCGTCTCTCACTCAGATCACTATTTATGACAATCACCGGATTTCCATTATCGATATTCCCACTTAAAACTTGGTCATCAACTAAGTCAGAAGATATTATCAGTGGGTTCGAATTATTCGCAAAACTTTTATCAATCAATTCCATCTGCAAGAATAATAAGCGATTTAAATAACGATTAACAATAATTCAAATTTTGAAAATATATTTATTCACGCTTGAGCTTAAGGCGTGCAAAATAATCAACTCACCGTATGATTAATGAGACGTGATTTGATTTCTGAACTGTGAATGCTGCTTCCATTTGAAAAGTGATCAGTAAATACGCAACACCAGCATAAAATAATTTCCATCAGTCGCATTATTAGTTTGCTGATGGTCAATTTAGAAAAGCAATTTTGCAGAATCAACGATCAGAAATGTTTAAAAATTTTTAAAGTCTTTGACGTAATCGAAAATGTGACGTTTATTCGCCTGACGATCTAGTGACTGAGCATTTTGAAGTGAAGTTGCCGACTGAATGCTTTGCAAGTGTATTACTTTGTTTCGAATTGTTGCTAGTGACAACTGCAGCTCACAATGTAGCAAAACATCGTTAAAATTATTGATGAGTTTCGTCGAAAAGACACGTCAACTAGTTCTAGAAAAAAGAATTTTTATCGCTTCCATAATACAGACTGAATCCTCCACAAGAACTGCTGGTGACGTAAAAACTATCGACTAAACTCTTTCGGGAGCTGTAGTCGAGCTCTTTCGTTTCACTAATCTTCCATCAGTAAGCAAATGATAACATACATTACAAACTTGACTGTCGGCTATTTTTATTCGGTGCAAGTAACATGTCGATTTATTGAATAGTAGAAGAAATAAATATAGGAGGAATTAAATATCTGAAAATTGATTGACTCTGTAGGCCATCCCCAGGATTTTCTGCTATTCACAAAATCAAAACGCTTGAAAAATTTCTTATTACTAAGTTCTAAGTGATTTTTAAACTAAAAAATCTGGAAAGCAGTTGACTTGCAAGCAATTCTTGGAATTTCCCGCTTTATTCGAGCTTGAAATTTTTCCAATTGATTGATTTTTAAGCTCTGCGAGCTAAAAAATTCAAAAGTTACATAAAAAAATAACGATCATTTAGTTTTTCAATGGCTTGATTTTGAACGCGTTGTTTGATTATAACTTGGTTGGCGGCATTCGATGCAATTTTATTAGTTCAATATTTTGAAAGTAAATCAGAAGAAATTAAGCAAGAAGCATTTTTTTTGGTTTTTATTTTTTGAATATTTTTAAAAAGTCGCGACCTTCTAAAATTCTTCTAAAATTTCAGCTCAATATCTCAAAAATTGAGCTGGCGCATTGAAGAATCTTTTTCGCCATTTGAAATAGGTCTTAATTTTGTTCAAAAAAAAATTATTTAGTGGAATACAGTGGTCTCTCCAGCGTCAACTGAGAGGGATCCATAATTTTAGAAATTAAAGTTGAAGAATACACTACAACAGATAAGCTCTTCCACTACTTCTTAGTATAAAATGGTGGAGATACAATAGGAAGTTGGAGAATAAAGAAGTTGGGAAGACTCTACTTAACTGTATTTGTATTTAAATAATGAAACACAAGAAAATACCTCACGGTGTTTTATTAGGGAAGGATGGAGCAAGACGGCCCACCTAAGCCGGTTTTTATTTTTCGTGGCTTTTTACTATCAAGTGGATTTACTCTGGTCCAACTTTGACTCAATTCACCGGAATTTTTCCAAAGTTCCAAAAAAAAATTTTTTTTTTTTTTTTTTTTT